CTCTATTCCTGCACTGTGTAAAATGACAGGTTAGTACGGCTCACATGCCAACTTCATCTGAATAGTTTGCTGGATGTTTTTCTCAGTAGCACAGGATGCCGGGTACTCAATGTAATCACTGTGGACTATAAATGTTATGCCTAGTCATGTTAAAGGATTTGACTTGCCCGTCTATAACTGAAAGGGGGCACTGTAATTCTCCCGCATTACAATAGAGGCCACCAGTACGTGGTCCCTTGCCCAGGGTTGCACAACTGAGTGATTCATGGTACCTCTTGCACTCACAACTCATCTCTGGAGTGCCAAGAGAGGTGTTCATGGGAACTCTGCTTGAAGAGACCAACAGGCCTCATCTAGAATAAATGAAAAGATACATAGTGATCCTTTTGCAGTATTAGCCACTGCAGAGAAATGTTAGCCGTGCAAATGAGACAGCCATGGTTGTATGTTTAGCATTGGCCTCTGTTCTTTCTTCCCATGCCTTGACATCAGCTACTTGGAGACAACCATACCCAAGTGATTTGACTTGATTATTGGGCCCCACAGTTGATTCTGCAACTTGCAGGTTTTCTCTTAGCAAGCTTTTTTCCTATTTGGTGGAAGACCAAGTAAATTAACATGAACCCTTCATGTTCTGTGTGTATCTGCATAATGGCAATGTATGTACACATTTGTATAGGTCAGAACATAGATTTGAGCGTCACTCCTTAGGTACTATCTACCTTTATTGAGAGAGAGAGAGAGAGTAAGAGGGAGAGACAGAGACAGAGAGACTCTCACTCTTCCAAAATTCACCAGCTACTCTAGACTGATGAGCCCTAGGGATCTGCCTGTCTCCATTTCCCCAGCACTGGAAATATAGGCTTATGCCACTGGTTGTTTGTTTGTTTATTTGTTTGTTTGTGTCTTATGTGGGTTTCAAAGGTCAAACTCAGGTACTTGTACTTGTAAATCAAACAATTGCTTTCTTAACTATCTCTTTAAAGCTATGAACTCTTATGTTCATGATAAAAGAAAATCACTTGAAGGACTACCTGAAGAGAGTAGGACTTCAACCAATGACCACATAATCTTGTTACTCTCCTTGTGTCAAATAAAAGTTATCTTACACTCACAAAAGAAAGGTCATAAGAAAACATCATTTCTTATAGAGAAATTAATAATGCTCAGAAAGCTATCAGGGCAATATGAGGCCTATGTTATGTGTATAATAATCCACATTACAGGTACAACACTCACACTTCAATGGCCCATTTACTTCCTTATTATTTATTACATGGAGCTGTATTAGCACAAGGTGGTGGATTTGGGAGAGAATAGCTAGGTATTTTTATGTCTACTTTGAGCTGTTAGTTTTACTGCATTCTGAAATGTAGAAGATCGTCCTGCAGTCAAGTCGAGCAATAAAGACTAAATTGAATTATCCTCATGGAACAGCTGTTAAATCTTCAGGGAGTGCGCAGGTCCCATAGAAAAGGGATGATAGATTGCAAGGAGGATGCTGTCTGAATGCATCCCACAAGAAAGCCTTGTGCTCTGTGAGGCAGAGGGAAGTCTGGATTTCCTTGAGCCGTGAGTCACAATTTGTGATATGGACACCAACTAACCCTCTCTGCCTTCTCTCTTAATTCTGTGAATCTCCTGATCAAGTGCAAACTCCTGAAGGCTTAATAACCACAGGAGAACTGAAAAGTAACAGCACACAGAAAACAGAAACATATTTTTTTTCTAGAATACTTTTCAACACCTCAATGATTGTGTGACTAGGAACAAAGTTAACTTTAGGGCAGGTGTGCTGTCTTTGGAGGAAACTTTAAGCTAGATTACAGGAATGAAAGTACCTGTGATTTTGTATTTAATAGCGTACACCATTACATATCAGAAGGAATGCCAATGAAATAAACCAGATGCTCTTTTGTGTGTGCATGTGTGTGCATGTGAACATGTACTTGGATGGTTGCATGAGAGAGAGAGAGAGAGAGAGAGTATGTGTGTGTGTGTGTAAATTCTCATTTAATGAAGGAAATTGAAGCAATTTGGAAGAAAACCTATATGTGTGTCTTTTTTTATTTTATAAAGGCAAAAGCTAAGATTGTTCTACCTGTGCAGTAAAATTATATTCTTGGATTATATTTTTCTTCCCAAGTGCTTTAGTGTTAAATGGTTCTCTGTGCCACATCATGACTATACTACCATTTAAGTGTTGGGGACTGAAATGGAGTAGAAAAGTGTCAGGCAATCTGGAAAATGCTATAGTTAGTGTAATGATTGAGAAACATTTATTAACATTTTGATGCAGGATTCACTGATAAAGGGAATAATATAAAGGTTGCTTGCACCCAGAAACACATTTTTTTTCCTTTCTCTATCACATTTCACTTTCAGTTTTTCTGATTATTTAATAACTGAATTTAACATAGCTCATCATTAAAGATGAAAAGCCATAACCCTCTAGCTGCCTCTTTGCTATTCCAGAAACCAGGTCGCAACCTACCCATTAGGACAAGAACTGACAGGAACCTGCTATGACAGTTGGCAGGCCTTTATAGTCCAGCTTCCTCCCTGACTATACCCAGCTGCCCAAGACAAAGGCAACTTTGAACTATGACTTCAGAACCTTCCTTCCTTGACTTTAAGCATGCAGATTAGACCACTAGGCTGGACTAGATTACTTAGTTAGAAGCACAGAGACACACCATACACACATACACACACACAGAGCTATTAAGGTTTAAAGCATCTGAACTCAATTTCAGGTGACTGAAAGGCTCTTTCCTTCATGCTTCCATCTACACACAGTGGCTGTCTACCTTAAGATTGAAACAAAGACTCCCTTCGAAGTACCTTCCACCCTGCCATGCCACATGTGCTATGAGGCTTTATCTCTAATGTTTTTCTCTCTGAGGCCTGATCATAGCTCTTAACAGAATGATACCCCTTCAACTAATAATGCTAATGCTGAATGGATAATTTTGTGTTAGCTTTTTCTAAGCCCCTGTTCTTTCTTTTGAATTTCTATGAAATGGTATTTCCTAGAATGACATGTATAGAATTTCTGTTTGTGGATTTAACCCCACAGAGCATAGGCATTTCTACATAAGGCCTAGCTAGGCTCTTCCTGTGTCAGATGCAGCATGAATACATTACAGAGTGAAGGACCAGCTGAGAGCTCACATTTTGATCCATAGCCATGAAGCAGAGAGATAGCACTGGAATAGCCTGAGCCTTTTAGAATCTTAAGTCCTGCCCCACTAGCATACCTACTTCTTCAAGGCCTAATCCTTTTCCAAAAGTTCCACAAACTGGAGATCGAGAATTCAAACATATGAGCCTGCAGCAGGACATTCTCGTTCAAATCACCAGAGACACCACTGTGTTAGCAATGGCAAGATAACTGGAAAGCCAATGGTTGGTTACTTATGGGTAAAGGAGACGATTTTCAGGACTCTTATATATGATATACTATAGGCAAGTGCTATTATGCAGCATCAATGAATCCTCCAAATTAAGGGAGTCAGGAACATGGTACAAATATTTGAAAATGCTGATATTCTTTTTTCCAAGCATGAGTTTTTTCAAACATTCCAGACATTTGAAGAACCCTAGTAATACTAGAATCTAATAGTAACTTTTAAATGATGCAGCAACATGGGACCTCTAAATACAAAATATCTACTATAGTTTTGTTTATCAAGCAAGAGAACCCATTAGGTTATTTAAAGTATTGTAGTTTATTCAGGCCATATAATCAGATTGCTAAGAGAATAAAGTGTTGCTTTTCACTGACAAGATTGTCTACTCAGCCACAGGCTGGTAAAGGGGACAACATAACACAGAGAACAGTTTAAGACAAATGCCTGTCAAAACTAAATAGTGCAGATTAACTGTGGAGACAATTCCACTCTGCCTGGCTGCACAAAAATGTCCCAAGGTCTCATTAGCATGCTTTCAGGGAAAACATGTCTGAAATCAGAAAAATTAATCCCAAATTTCAAAGAATTTAATCTTCTATGGACACTGTGAAGTTATTCCTGTGTTATCAATAAATACTTGATGAAGAGCTTAGACATGAAGTTCACTCAGGAGAAATGAAAATGCATTCCACTCACTGCAGAGATGGGGTCAAGATGGCTTTGTGGAAAGTAAGGATTCACTCTACAGTCAGTTGGTAACATGGGCCATCCCAGAGCCTTCACTGAAGGTCACTGTGGGGTTCTTCTATCTTGGTACCCATCCTGCCCAGATAGCTATAAACAAAAACCTAGGAGGATTATAGGCATCCACTTGGCATTTCACCTGCCAGTTTTGATGAAGGCTAGGGAATCTGAATTTCTATTCCTGTATAGGGATAAGCGAATATACTGAGATGATGGAGATGTTAGAATCATCTAACAGATTCTAAAGCAGACTTTATAATGAAAACTGTTTCAAAACTCAAATGTAAGAGATGAGTAAGAAAACAGGTCTTAGTAACAAATACAAAGCCTTAATAAGAAAATGAAAGGTATAGAGAAAAAAAATAAGACCCCTAAATACAGTGGAATGGGTCTGTAGCATCTGTATGAAAAGATGGGCATTGCTGTGTGCCCATGACCCCAGCACAGCTTAGAGTGGAGACTGGAGGATCACTGGACCTTGCTTGTTAGCAATCAGCTCTGGGTTCAGTGAGAGAACTTGTCTCAAGGAAAAGCAACTATACACAATAGAACACACAACAACCTCCTATGGTGTCAGTGCATACACCTGCATGCAAACAAGTACAACACAGAGAGACAGACAGAGAGAGAGAGTAAAAGAGAGATATGTTAAAATTTAAAAACTAGTAGATGCCTGGCAATAATAATGAGAATAGAGAAGAGCACTAGGGAACACATACATACCTTCAACTGAAAGTAAACACATAAGATAAACACAGCGTGAAGAGGTATAAGGGTAGAGTACCAAAATCAAAACTTACCCAAAGTCCACAACCAACCAGCTAACAGAGATAGCAGACTTACCACAGAGTAGATCTGATGCTTTCGTCGTTTGGCCAAGTCAATTATGTTCACTCCATTATAGTAAAGGTTTTCAATACAGCCGTGGAAGTTTTTCTTTAAGAAGGTCCCAGGTTTGCCTGGTACTGGAATTCCTCCAAAACTGAGCTTTATGGTGGAAGAAATAAAAATCAACATTTAGTTACAAGCTCTGAAGAAGTACGGACACAGAAGTCAGTACATTTTTCAAGATTTAATCATATGTGTGATCCGAGTGGCTTTAGTAATTGCAGATGCCACTTGATTACTCATTTAAAAGGAAACATTAGTCTACGTAAAATATCTGTAATTGCTTGCCTTTTAAAGATTGACTTTATAAAACATTTTCATTTCACTGTTAAAACTTTTAAATGCTAAATAAAACAGTAATTTAGAGAGAAAGAAAAGAAAAAAATCGACATCTTTATCTTTAGCACAAGAGTAGAATGGACACAACTATGACAAAGCTAAGTAGCCAAGCAAATCCTTGCTCTCTCACTTTGAAACTGTTGGGAAACATAGGAATGTACAGAAACATGGGCCTGTGCGCCTGTAGAGGTTACACGCAGGTTCACAAATCACACCACGAGATTGGTTCCACATGGGAGGTTTATTAGGGGAAGGGGGCGAGAGAAAGAGAGAGAGAGAGAGAGAGAGAGAGAGAGAGAGAGGAAGATAGAGTAAGAGTAAGAGAGTAAGGAAGAGAGAGAGGGGGAGGGCTCCAGTTCTCTTATAGGGTGACCCAGGGCATGCGCAGATAATTCCAGGTGGTCAGGGTGTCTTCACAAATGCCTGATAACTGGTTTGTTAGGTCCCTTGGGGCTGGCTGTAGAAGTGCCTGCTTACTGATCCCAAAATTCCTCCCATTTTCTATAATTAAAAATAGGGAGCTTGGGCTGCCTTTTATAAGGTAAGTTAAAGTATATAAATTTAGGCTCATTGGAAGCAGCTCTTGGTTGTCATGCAAGAGGTTAAGAGAGAGAAGAATTATAGCAACAAAATGGTCAGATTTGTAAGGTTAAGAGTAAGGGAAGTCTCTGCCCTGGAAAATGTAGGGTAGAGGGTTGTCAATAAAGAGAGTTGCTAGCCATGCAAAGCAGCAGCAGGTAGGGACAAGGGAACGCTGGGAGAACCTGGAGCTGTTTGTCCTGGTCCTGAAGCACACCACTTCAGCCTTTTGTTAACAACAAGTGAAAAACAGGCGTAGATTCTCTTCTGGCTACTTCCTGCTGACACTGGGGGCACTGTAGGGAGGTCAAAAGGCTGAAGTGTTGGCCAAGTTCAGGAAGAACAGGCTGTTTTGATGCTTTCCTGGGTCTGTGAGAATATCCATGGCTGGGAGGGAAGGTGCAGGTCCAGCTTGTTGGAATTCTGTGAGGTCAGAGCTGAACAGCTGTAGCTGCTTTGGCACTGTTGTGGCTATAGGAAACATCTGTGTCTGGCAGGACACTGAAACATATATATAGGCAAAATGCACATTACCCAAAGAGCTTAGAGGCATAGGGCTGTTCTCTAACTCTTATCTATAAAGATTAAAAAATTGAAATAATGTAAAATGTTCTATGGATTTGAGAAGCAAGTAAGAATCAGCATAAGAACACTATTAGCATGACTATTATTTACATTTTTTTTATAAAATAGAAAATGAATGGAATTTTGATTCTGAAGTACAAGAATTAGAGTTGGTGGTGAAGTTTCATTTCAGCGATGACAAAATTGTGCGCACAAAGGCCAGAAGCTGCTCAGTGTGTAAAATCACTAGCCATACAGTTTCAGTGACCCAAGTCTGATTTCTAGAATACTTGTTAACAAACAAACAAACAAAATCTAGAAACAGCATCGAAATATCAAGCTAGATGATGTGGCTGCTAGCCTGCCTCTGTGATCCAGAACTACTATGAATATCTGGTAGGCTAGAACAGGAGAATCATCCAGAAAGTCTCCAAACAGCTAGTCTGGAGTCCACACTGCAGCAGCTAAAGCAAGACAGACTGAGCCTCAAGGTGAAAAGTAAAGGAATAGAGAAAGTTGTCCTCTCACCTCCACAGGCACAACAGGGTATGTCCATCCTTCTGTGCATGCATACACAAATGCACGCCCGTGCTAGAGTGTGCATGTGTGATCGTGCAAAGATTGGGAACAGAACTACATGTTAATGGTGACTGTCTGGGATGAGAACAGGCTGTTAGCGTTCTTTATTATGTATATTTTCACTAAATTAGCACAGTAATGTATGACGGATATAGTAAAGAACAAAATAGCTGTTGGGAATACTGCACTCGAAGTGCAAGGCAAGAGGGTAGTAACTGTATTCTCCTTTGCCTCACATTCATCAACCAGTAACCAGGTTTTCTCCATTGCTATGAAATGCCGCATTAGCTAGGACTCTCTTCCCCCAAGAATCTCTTTCCTCTTGTTCACTGGCTTTTCCCTTTCCCTCCTCTCACTCCTCTCTGCCCTGCCTCCTTTTATTCTCTCTTCTTGTTCATCTGTCTCCTCTATGTCCTCCACATCTGCCTCTCTCTATCCCTCCTCTCTCTTGCCTGTGCAGTGGTAGAGGAGGGCATCCTTTCCCAACTGTAGCGTCCCGTCCCCTCCCCATCTCTGCCTCCATTAGTCATACATGAGCTACTGGATCCAGACTTTTTAAAAATAAATTACAAAGAATTAAAAAAAATTACTATAATGGGGCTATATCCTGTCTACTACTTTTCCTCTTGCTTTATTTTCCAAACATAATTATGATGCTTTCATGTATTTTTAAATTTGAAATGGCTATTTTTCTTTCAACAGATATTTGTGTGTGCTTTTTTAAGGTCATACATAGCTTTGAATTTGAGATGTAAAATAATAGGATATACACAAACACTTTATTTTTCCAATTTTATATTCTTTACTTTTATTTTATTTTTCTGGTCAAAAGTTACTAAGACCTGGCCAAAATATTTTAAAGCATTTTAACCAAGAACAATATAGAGCTTTGTAGAAATAAAGCATGCAAACCACAAAAACAATCTTTCATTTTCTAATTACTCAAAGCAATTCTGACTTCCTCATTAAGGAAATATTTTTCCACTCATGATGTATAATGGTTATTTACTTTCTTCTTTATTGACATATTTTAAGTAAGACTGTAATGCAATTTTATTATTTGTTTTTTCAAAAGTGAATATTATAGCATGTCAAAAGCATTGTTTATTCTATCAGTTATTTGAATTGTAACAGTCTTAAGTTCACAGATTCATAGTGAACTCACTGCATTTTTTTTTTTTTGCCTTAAATTGGACATAAGCACATTTTAAGGAGAAAATCCTTTCAAGTAGTTTTTAGGTTATTATTTTTTCTTTAATTCATTATAGTTTATTCACTTTGTATCCCAGCTATAACCCTCTCCCCTGTCTCCCTCTATGCCCTTCTCCTAGTCCACTGATAGCAGAATTTCTCCTCCCCTTCCATCTGACCCTAGCCTATCAGTCTCATTAGGACTGACTGCATCATCTTCTTCTGTGGCCTGGAAACACTGCACCCCAAGAGAGAGGTGATCAAGGAGCCAGCCACTGAGTTCATGTAAGAGACAGCCCCTGCTCTCCTTACTAGGGAACCCAGATACTGCCTATGGGCTGCACCTGAGCAGGGGGTCTAGGTACTCTCCATACATGGTCCTTGACTGAAGCATAGATCTGTGTAGGCCTTCCTGAGCCCACGGTTTTTGGCTCTGTTGGTCTCCTCATGAAGCTCTTGTCCCCTCTGGTCTTTCTATTTTCTCCTTCTTCCATAAGATTCCCTGTACTCTGCCCAAAGTTTGGCTATGAGTCTCTGCATCTGCTTCAATACCCTGATAGAGTCTTCCAGATAGTAGAGTCTTCCAGAGGCCCTATGTGGTAGGCTCCTGTCCTGTTTTCTGTCTTCTGCTTCTGATGTCTATCCTGTTTGCCCTTCTGAATGAAGATTGAGCATCTTTCTTAGGGTCCTCCTTCTGGCAGAGGAAACAACTCCTGAACAGACTACCAATAGCACAGGCTCTATGATCAACAGTTAATAAATGGGACCTCATGAAACTGAAAAGCTTCCATAAATCAAAGGACACAGTCATCAGAACAAAATGATAGTCTACAGACAGGGAATGGAACTTCACCATTCAAGTTTTAATGTTCTTGTTCAAATCTAGATTTGTCTGATATAAAGTACATAATTTATGTTTGTAGACTTTGAAAAAGATTTTAAAATTACCCATGAAAAATGCTGATAACTTATTTACAAAGGCATTTGTAATTCAGTGTAATTATCTAAGTACTTTTAATGTGAGAATTTTGCATTTTTAAAATATCTTTTTTAGTTTGTGATTTTTGTAAAAAAATAAATTGGTAATGTAAAAGTATTATAAGATATTTATATTTTTATAATTTTGAACATCTAATGGTAAAATCGTACTCTTCACTTTTATGTTAGCCACCCCCTCTGTTTCTGACAGACACCCCTTAGCTTTCTTCTTCACATGTAGATAGTATTAGCTATACAATATTTCTTGAATAGACTGAGGGAAAAATAAAAGAACATTCTTTTTTTTTTCTATAACAAGAGTTTTACCAAAAGAATCAGGTTAGAAATATTGTGGAAGTAAAACATGCAGAATACTGAACATAACAAACTGTAATCTCATGTTTCATGGAAACGAAACAATCTGTAATTTTGTGTGTAAGATTTGGAAAAGGATTTGGAAGGGATGTGAGGAAAGCAAGGAGGAGACTTCCTCTCTGATCCTCTTTGGTGCACTTAAGGTGGAAGAAAGGACTTGTGATAGTTATTATGTATGTTCAACTGAACAGAATGATGAGTCACTAAAGAGCAAATACTTGGGCATTTCTGTCAGGTGGTTCATAGAATGCTTTAATTAAGGTAGTACCATTCAGTGGGTGAGATCAGGAACTGAATAAAAACAAAGAAAGCAAGTTGTACAGAGCACTTAATTTTCTCTCCTTCATCACTGTGAATGCTTAATGACAAGCTGCTTATCACTGCCATTCCTGGCCTACTCCTATGTCTAATGGGAAATGACTGAATCCAGCAAGGAAAGAAAATTAAAATTTCACTAAGGTACCATTGACCATGAACATCCATTTCACACTTGA